CTGTCAGCAGTCAGTAAGTTTTAGTGCAGGAGAAAGAAAATCCTCTCCAGGTCAAAATGACGAGAGCAAAACAAGAGTTAAAAGACAAAAACCCTGCTCTGCATTTGAGATCATGTGCAAACTAAGTGGAAAAAAGAAAAGTAAAAGTACAAATACTGTAACAAATAATATTAAAACACCAAGTACAAAATTACTATAATACAGAGGTAGAAAAAAAACTTGTTTAATAGACTGCAAATAACATCAGGATGATCAAACAGTTATTAACCTTCCACATTTTGCACAAAAAACAGTTTAATGTCATTGAGAAATAAATCATTAAATAAATGACTCGCCTTGAAATAGACACATTTTACACCATTAAACTATCAATTTTATAACAACATTTTAAATGTTCATGTTTACAACATTTGACACCGTAACAGTTTCAGTTGGTGCCGGTGGATCCGAAGCCTCCCGCTCCTCTCTCCGTCTCATCCAGCGTCTGAAACCAGAAAACATGACGGAAATACAGCAGACGCTCTTATAGACGCGACGAACGAGTGAAGTACGTTAACGACAGCGGCGTTTACCTGTAACTCCTGCAGCTCCGGGTAATAGATTCTCTCACAGATCAGCTGAGCGATGCGGTCGCCCTTCTTCACTGCAGACACACGCCGATAAATGTTGAAGAAAAACATTTATAACAGCGAGAGTTCCGGTGCTTGATTCTGATTGGCTGAGCCGCGTTCGAAGCTGTTGTAAATTACTCTACAAAGTAACACACCTTTGTTTACGTTTGTCTGTTGCTCGGCAACCACTTTGTTGCAACCACAACTGATTCTGAGGAGCTACATTGTTTGGTGGAAGAATACTGTTTTTATTAATATCATTACACTTTATTTGCCGTTTTATTTTGTGAAACCTTACTACGTATATGGAATAACCGTTTTATAAAAGCAATAAGCCCCGTGAAGCCGTGGTTTACAGTGAATTTATCTAACAATGCCCCTTAGCCGTTATAAATTCACTGTAAACCACGGCTTCATGGGGCTTATTGCTTTAATCTATATGCGGTCTAGACCTTCTGTAGAAATCATTCTCAAAACTCAATGTCATTTAAAGGGGTCATATGATGCTGCTAAAAAGAACATTATTTTGTGTATTTGGTGTAATGAAATGTGTTTATGCGGTTTAAAGTTAAAAAAACACATTATTTTCCACATACTGTACATTATTGTTTCTCCTCTATGCCCCGCCTTTTTGAAACGCGTCGATTTTGCAGTATTTTAATCTTGTGCTCTTTTTTTCTCAGAAAGCAAGACTTCGTATCTTAATTTCGCATCTCCAGTAAACGTGATTTAAGGATGTTGAGATATTTGCACTTGAAAACAAGACGGATATCACAGATTCGTGTTTTGCAGTGCATGCAACATTTAATGCCATGATGTTATGGATTTAAGACCTTAATCTGTGGAAGAGTGAATTCAGCCCTGCAGAAAGCCCGAGTCTCACCTTCAAACGGCTCTTTGTTGAAGTTGAAGAGCACGACTCCCAGATTCCCCCTGTAGTCCTCATCCACCACGCCAGCTGTAGACACACCACACATGTGATATCACAGTAAAACACCACATTCTCATGTCACTGGCGAATGTGATTCACGAGCGACGTACCGCCGACATCGATGAAGTGCTTCAGTGCGAGACCCGAGCGAGGAGCTGCAACACAAACAGTGTTTAATGAGGAAACCGGTTCTGGCTTGACATCACATGCTTCTGTAGCTCTCGCTCACCGACTCGGCCGTAGTAACCGTGCGGAACCGCGATCTGGATGTCGGTCTGACCAGAGCTTTATCCATCGGCCCGATGCTGTAGTCATATGCACTGAAACACACAATCAATCACAGCTCATCAAATGCACAGTCAGTACAGAATTAAGAGAAAAACACAATATGCATGAATCTGAACATATGCATGTGCAAAAACAACCTAATCACAGTTCAACAAATGCACCAAAGCAGCAGGAACTACTGGCAATAAATGCGTTAATTTAAAAAAATACAGGAAAAAAAAAGAAACGGAAGAGGGGAAACAATTCAAAAGAGAGACATGCATGAATCTAAACGTGCAGAACACACCTGTGCAGGTCGAATCCCGCGGCTCGGTTCGATCCTCGGCTCGGCGGCGTGGCGTTTTCCGTCAGCTTGGCGAATTTTAGCACCTGTTCTTTGTGTCCGTTCACCGCATCACTCTTACATCTCTTCTGCGGCGAAACCGCTTCTGTAACTTCAGAGCAGGGCATTTTACTGACGAGCGAGCGAGGAGAAGCACGACAGAGCAGCTGAACGCGTGACGCGAGTGAACCGGAGCGAACGAATGAAGCGCGCCAGAATGATGAGCAAAGCAGTGTTGCCAAGTCTCGCGAGAAAAATAAGCAACCGCAGCTTCGTGAACAAGCCCAAAATAACTAGCTTATTTATTATCAGCGAAATTATTTAGTAACAATAAATGAGCCAGCAACATATTAAACTGAAACCACATTTATTTGAAAAGCAAAAACAGTTTTAAAAAAACAAAACAGAAGTTATTTTTTTACAAAAATCAGCAAACTGCAACAAATGTTTGTGAATTACGCTGCAGCACTTTTATTATTGCACTGATTATCCATTAACTGTGAGCAGATTGCTTAAAGTTGCTTGTGAGATTTTCATATCAAGCAACCATATTTTTAAAAAAACTTAAAGAATCCCAAAGTTGCGTATTATAACAGGATTTGGCAACGCTGTTTGAATGACTCTATGGCGGGAAACACTCTGAGTGGCGGGTACTGGCTGCGTGACGTATTAACGTCAAAAGAGGATGTGCAAAATCGAAATCTGGAATTTATTAAATTTAGTTGTCATTATCAAACTAAATAATCAGTTGTGGCGACCACTAATCGGGAGAAGCCGAAAAAAGTTGTCATAATTCATCTATACAGCAGACATATTTCATTCATATTCTCCTTGACGGTGAACCTAAACGTGATATCACATTTCAGCAGTGGTGAATCACATTTTATTCTGTTATTCAAAACGTATAACCATCACATAGAGTTAAATATAGGATTCGACGATCACCAATGCTGCAGCGGCTGTGATATCACCGTTAATGCCATGCAGTCCGTTATTAACGGTTATTTCGCGGTTTTGTCGTGTTTTTATTGAGCTGCTGACCTCCAGCGCCGCGTCCGAACACAAGGCCGTTTAAACCGCGAACAGAAGAAACACGCCGAAACATCTTCACCAGTCAATCCGCCATTCCGCTGCTGTTGCATTCTGGGAGTTGTAGTCTTTTCTCCATCGTGCTGTGTAGTTCCCGGAGGTTGTGTCCATCGCGTGTTCGCGTCCGTTCCGTTGATTCAGAATGAAGCGAAATCACGTGAACGTTAAACGGCTCATCTATGATCGACACGACTGATTGCTTAGTTAGCAAAGTAAGTGCTTAAATCACACCTCATACTCATCCTGTATAACGTGAACGGACTGATTCTGATAATCACTCTGATCTGAAGAACACCCGCCTACAAAGCACCTGTAGTCCGGCGAATATTCGCAAAACGCGTTGTTTCCATTTAAAATTCGTTAGGAATATTTTGGTTGTTATTCTTGGTTTGAATCAACCGTTAAAAAATTGCCGCGCTGACCACGGCTTCCTGTTTCTGCTGTAAAATCACAATAAATTTAAAAAAAAATTCACAATAAATTATTTAATCAGGAGTCACATTCAAACAATGACAACGTTTATTGTTTTCCTTAATTGATTAATAACTTAAGAGAAATTAGTTGAAAATCTAACTAGTACACATAGTACTTCTAGCACACAGTACTACAAACCCCATACTTCTGAGACACTTAAATGAATTTAAAAATATATATTTATTTACTGTGGAAAATTGATATAACATGAACTAATTTCTTTCCCAGTACCACAGAAATATAAACAGGATCGGGAAGACTAGATATCATAATGGCCGTTAGTCAATATATTTACAAAAGTATGACTATACTTGACAAAAATAAGATACTTTAATTGATAACTCTGAATAATTTGACACTAAACTGCTTTTGTACTGTTTACACAGATCTACTGTATGTCCAGGAGAGGGCAGTATAGATATATTAATTAGAATGCTATTTATACCTCATTGTGTTGCGTGTTAAATTCAGTGGCTTTATATTTTGCATTTTAATGTTATTTTATGTGAAAATGTCTTTTGACATTTTTTGATGAATAGAAAGAATTCAAAATCAACATTATAAATGTCTCTACTGTCACTTTTTGATCAATTTAATGCATCCTTGCTGAATAAAAGTATTAATTTCTACTTTTTTTTTTTTTTAATAGTAGTGTGTCACAGTTTTCACAAAAATATTAAGCAGCAAAAACAGTTTTCAGCATTGATAATAAGAAATGTTTCTTTTGGCAGTCTGATTAAACAATAAATAAAAATCATGGGTTCATTCTTCATATACAATATGCTATTTATACCTTATTATGTTGCATGTTAAATCCAGTGGCTTATGTTACTTTATGTAAAAATGTTTGATCAAAGAAGTCAAGAAAGAGATGGATTCATTCTTCAACCTGTGTGTGTGTGTGTGTGTGTGTGTGTGTGTCTCTGTGTGTGTGTGTGTGTGTGTCTCTGTGTGTGTGTGTGTGTGTGTCTCTGTGTGTGTGTGTGTGTGTGT